GTTTAAATTTACAACATCATAAACATTGCAAAAATTAACTTATATGTTTTTTTGTTTGTTTTAATCATCTAGTTCCATATAAATGTAACGAATCTGAGGTGCAATTTTATCTTTTTAAGAACATTTTATATCAAAAAAACGCCAAATTTACAATTAATTTTACTTTTAATAGAGTTGGTAAGCGAACAGCATGAATCCTGATCATACTGCGCGGATGCGCATGCTGGTCTGGATCCATGCTGGTCGCAAATGCACTATGTTGGTTTTGTCGTGACGCGGCTCAAATATGATTCAAGCGGTTCTTGTGAGGTAACGCCTTGTACGTGAATAGTGCTGGAAAAAGTGAAATTATGTACAAAAATGACTGCAATGACAGTAACCTGTTTCATATTTCTGACAAACCAGTGATCGTGACAAGTTATATCCACAAAATATATACATTTCTAAGAGCTGTGAAATCCGACTTTTATACTACATTACAATGGAACAGCCTCATCAGTGAAAAAAAGAGAAAAAAAGGAGAAGTTAACTTGGTAAGAAAAATAATAATGATATTGGTCATTGAGTTGTACTATCGAAGATTAGATATGCCTTAGATTTAGCTGAAGTGTGTAAAATATGTATTGTAACAGTTTTAATGCATAACATGTTTGTAAATGCAAAAGACATTTTTTTGCCTGTGTCTAACGTTTCCTGATGCTGAACAAACATTGTCTCTAATAGTCCATGTTTACTGATATTAAATCTATACGAGAAGGAAGAAGTATTCAAGAAGTATTTTAAGGTTAAACATTTTAGGTAAAATGTAAGTAGGCTGAAACGTGCGCGATATTTTATACTTTTTTTTTGTAAATTGAAGATTAAAATCTAGTAAAATATCATTTTATTGCAATAGATTTATATAGACTTAGAGATAACTAAACCACATTTCATGTATATATGACGGTATGAACATTATGGTAGTAAAAAATTCAAGTTTTAAATTTATGTTTCAACCTGACATTTAAACCCGGGGTTTCCAAAAAGTTTTGGGAAAACAAAATTTAAAAGGGTTTGGTTTTTGCTAATAAAGAATAAAGTAAATTTTAATTATTTTACAGGAAAAAAGAAATCCCTTTCATTATAAAAAATTGCAAAATAAGTTATGACTTATTGTTTAAAATTCTTTCAGTGTGTATATACAAATTTTCCCCCATTTTTTTTTTAATGTTTTTTCCCGGTTTTTTTTCAATGAAAAAGGTTAGTAGCTAAAAATTTTGATCCTAACAGTTTAAAAACTAATTCCGATTAGGGCATACCGATATATTTACCTCGAAATATTTAAGAAACGTCAATGGTTCTTTTTCAACATCGCATTGGAATTCAATAAATTAAGAAATGTAGTAACCTATAACAAATGAGCCGCATCACGACAAAACCAACATAATGGGTTTGCGACCAGCATGGATCCAGACCAGCCTGCGCATCCACGCAGTCTGATCAGGATCCATGCTGTTCGCTTACAAACTCTATAACAAGTAGAGAAACTGATAGCGAACAACATGGATCCTGATCAGACTGCACGGATGCGCAGGCTGGTCTGGATCCATGCTGGTCGCAAACCCATTATGTTGGTTTTGTCGTGACGCGGCTTAAATATTTTATGATCCGTATAATTGGGCCTAATTTTGTATTTGGCGGGGAAAAGGCGTTACATGCCATGTGTTTCTTGATTTTTTTCTTGATTTTTCTTTGTTCATAGTAAGAATTTAAAATGCATCAGTCTCTTTCAAATGGCATTGTAATATATACGTACATACAATTACAATTATTTGTTGTAAGACTAAAATATTAGAAACACAACTCGTCATGTATGAACAAATATTTCCTTCGTATTACCATTGTTCTGTCTCTTTGGTGTTTATAGGTTTTTTTTAAACATCTAATTTAGTTAGCTAAATGAATTACGTGCTGTTATATACATTCAAACGTCTGTTGATAGGAAAAAGAGTGCATCTTTAACAAAGTAAATACATCAAAAAGTTGAAACATTGAAACCTGGAGAAAACTGTCAGTTCCGTCTTGTATTCAAATTCATGCCTGTATGTTTACATATGAACGGATCTTACAGAGTCTATTCCTTTGCTTTAGGATATTTTTCAACGAACATAAAGAGACTAAAGTGATATTTGAAGATATTTAGCCTTATCACTTCTTTAAATCAAAGTGCTGAATGCACTGAATGCGACGGACATGCAACCGAAGAGACATAAAGGTTTAAAAAAAAAAAAAAAAAAAAAAAAAACAACACAAAAGATATATTAGGACAATTTGTTCCATACAATTTCGAGATTTGTAGAGCAATATATTTTAGGTGTCGAAATCTGATATAATTCAGATTTTCTATACTTTCAAGCAGAACAAGTCCATATTTTTAAATACAGAATAAAAATAATGCCTTAAAACTCTGGTCAAATTTGTAAATCAGTGTCCTTATCGATTTATTCCAAGAAATGATATGTAAATAAAAAAAAACTGTCAACGAAATATTTCTTAAATAAAACCATACAAATAAACTTCAAGCGTAATACATAATACTAGAAAACACTTATTTTTCGCGAAAACCTTATTTCGCGAATTGGAGGCAAAATGTCCAAAATAATTATTTCGCGTCAACATGAATTCGCGTCTTCCCGAAAAATGTGAAACCGGAAACCCGATGTCATTCGGATATATTCTGTCCTGTCCGTTCACTAACTTTGCGTCGTTTATTGTGCGACGAATGCATTTATATCTGTATCGATTTTTCTGATAGCTTGCTAATCTTCTTGTTAAGTGAAACCGTCTGTCTAAAAATATGTCAATAAAGTTTGATAATTATTTGATATTGTGTTCACTGTGTTTGTCATGTATTGTCCCGATTATACACTGATTAGCCATTCAAAGGCAAGCAGACGAAAATCAATTAAACGGTACTGTAATTTGCCTAACCTGCTGGTGCTAAAGTATTTGTACCAAATACAAAAACAGTTATTCTGAAAATCGTATTTTCTGGGTTTTTTTCCGGTACATTAAGAAGGTAATCGTTCCTTATGTGGAGAAGATAAGGGACGAAAGCGATCTGCCCTTAAAACATTTCACATTAATTAGAACAATCTGTAGAAATACCATTAAAATTTTGTGAGACGCATTAATTTGTTTATACTTAATTCTAGTGCAGTCACAGTTACCTTCCTTGACACAGGTAGTATGCAGCGCAATTCCTCAATAATACCAAATTGTTACAGGTAAATATTTCATACTAGTAATCTGTAATCTGAATTCGCGTCTTAGAAAACTCGCGAATATTAGCGAAAATAAATTTCTCGCGAATAATAAGTGTTTTACAGTACATGTGAGAATGTTAATTAGAATTGCTTCGTGTTATATCATAAAAACCATTTAGACAATAAAATGTAAGTAATTTGTATTTTTATTTCTCTTGGATATGTCTCATTAAATATATTTTTGGTTAAAATCATCAGCAATTAATGGTGTATTTTTTAGAATTTTTTTTTCGTTAACAAGGTATATACGGTGGTTATACGATCAACAACGACAGAGATAAATCAATATGTAATGGATGTTCAAGTATTTTTTCTCTTTATTTCATGGAGTAGTATGAAAATAAATAAATATTTCATGAGTGGCGGTAGCAAGAAATGCGATTGAGAATTGTTGATAGCAGGATGAAGTAAATGATTTCAGAACTTAAGAATAGAAATTTCTTCTTTTCAAAATTTGTCTTAGCTAAGGATCGGTCTTAATTGCGGATGGTCTTACGTAGGTAGGGACTTTCCACTAGCTGTAAATTCTAAACCCTTTGTATCATGATGTACTATCACAATCAGAATGACATGATATTTAGGTAACAATGTATTTTATACTTCAGTGGGTCTGTAATTAGAATGATGGAACATAATTAACTATTCAAATTTGGTTCTTGATATATATTCAACATGGACATTTATTAAGATTTATAAGACATAAACCATGAAATTCATCTGTTGTACATGTTAGAAGTATTGCAAAGTAGTTTGTCATAGCAAAATTATTCTCGGTATAATGGAATAAGATATATGTATGTCATACCAGTATCCAATACCGTTCACGCAGATGTTCCTTTCTACATTTATTATATATTTATAATGAAATATTGTCACAATTTATGTTCTGTCACTCTCTGGATCTGCTTATTAGAAATTTACACAAAACATTTTGAAGTATAAAAAGATTTAAAACAAGTCTATATGATAGACAATAACGCCCGCATTATAACTTCTCTGAAATCGTCACGAAACAGAGGCAACATTTGTTGTCATGGCAACATAAGCTCATATGTCAAAACCCATCCTCGATATTACATGTATACTCGTTTGTATACAATTCGTTCAATGTAGTTCAACGAAATCACAATCCGTGATTTCCGATGATCCCAAAACCATAATTGCCGACAATATTACAGTGCAACTCTAGAAATAACAGTTATCCATTCGTAAGAAATATTACTGGGACAAGAGATAATGGCCATCGATTCTTATAATTTTCATGAACAACATGAAAAATTATAATGTAAACGTATTAATATAAATGCAAAAAACATTTTGTTTAATGCACGTATAAAAAAGATCATTGTAAGTGTTTGACATTGAACTTGAATTCGCATTTCATGAAATTTGCTAGTCAGGATAAATATCTCATCGTTAGATACATGTTTATGTTATTCGTTGATATTTGACAGATGATTATAAATAAGCAAGCGAAATATTGACAACCTTTATTTCAAAACCTGTTCTTAATTTATGTAATTTAAATATACCTAAAATAAGATTAATAAGATAATAAGATAAATGATAATTATTAGTTTTCTACAATCATATTTCTGCAATATTATTTCTGCTTATGTTACTATTACAGACATCAGTTTCATATACAGTCATGAACAGCACAAAAAGAATAAGTGTATCATGTTGTTAAATCAATTAATTATTGTTTCTTGTCCGCTCAGTTAAAATTCGTGATATCACAGATTTGTTCACAAAGTATGAAAGTTCAAGGTAAACATGTCATTATGTTACATATCATAAGTGTTTTGCAAATAACATTCAAAGATCTTTATACGTATTACAAATAAAATAATTTGAGCTTTGTCAGCACGTGACTTGTTTATAATTTAGAAACAAGTTAGCCATGATTGACCGGTATTGTCAGAAGTTTTTATTAAGTAAAAGTTTATTCACATAAAAGGGTTGCCTAGAGGCAATTTTTGTATTTCGCAGAGAACTAACAGTTGACAATGGTAAATATCCCAAAACACCACTACTTAATCTGCAGTTGTCATAAATATAATTTGCTTTTTTGGGATCTAGTTCAGTCCGCCATTTATGCGCTGTTGCATTTGAATCTCGTCTTTGTGTGCAATATGCACATGAATCACGTGCTGAATGCGTTTGTTTTAGCAAAAAGTCTTGCATATGTTTAGTAAACTGTAATCCTGCAAAATCTAAAAGAGATTTTGTTGTTTGCATCGGATGTTCAGCCATGTCTTCATAATGAATAACCTTAAGTCTATCTGGATAATGCTGTAAAATTGTTTTGGAGTATTTAAGGTCCTCTTTAAGTGCATCACAAAGTTTCTTAATATTTTCTTCATATATACTCGGCTTTAGAGTATTTACTTTCATTCTAGAGTTAATGATAGCTCTCGGATCTCGGACAAGATGAATAACTTTCATATTTGGATACAATGGTAATATTTTCTCTATCTCTTTCATGCGTAACCGAATAAACTTCAGCACCGTAATTGTAGATTTCTGACAAGAATGTATTGCTTTCTTCAGACAACTGTCTGTTCGTTTCGTTTTATCGTAATATTTTGTAAAACTTCTGTGAGTATCCAAGTCATTTGATTGTCTTTGATTTGGCATGATACCATGATCGCAGTTATAAAATACTTTCATAATTTTGGTGTGGTCTTTATGGAAATCGTCACCCAGACTTTCTTTGCTTATAGAACCTAATTTGCATGTAAGCCAATTGTTTATCTCATCCAACTCTACTTGTAATCTCTGAGAAATTGTGAAAATCCTGAAGAAAAAAAATGCAGAAATAAATCCATGCCAGTTATGGTTTCGAAAAACATGCTTAATGAGGGTCCATCCGCCCTTTCGGGCACAAAATGCAGCTTTCGCTGTCGAGTACGGATCCCGGACATGTCACCAGTCATGTCCTTAAATAGTTAATTTTGAAGCACCGAGTGGTGATAATTTACCTCCATGCAATTTCCACGGAGTATTAGCCAAAGATATGAATTTTGAGCCAAAAGTAGGTTACTGTACGGCTGTCAATGAAGTAACCTGTGACAATATAAATACGCAATTTAATATCTGTTTAAATACTGCCACAATTACGTCACGCATAATGAATAAACCAATGAAAACTTTCCATTCCTTTCTGACAGTAGCATGGCGGAGACGGGGAACAAACTTCATATGGCTCTCGTTTAGAAAGATATGTTGGTTTCCGCTAAAATCATATGATGGTAAAATTCCTATATGAGGACATCATTTTCAGAAAATTGAACGGTTTTGAATTAGTTTTGTATATAAAAACTATCATGAAGAAAAATCGATATGCTAAGTTCCTCAATAGTTACAAATTCATTTATCGTCATTTAATAGAGTGTTTGTTGTCGTTTTTTCAGATGTGTCAAACATCTAAAGAAAATGACCGTTAATAAGCTCAAAATACTTTACAATCAAACAAGGTAGACAAAATATGCTAAAAAGACAACCTTTTTTTCGGTCTGTTCTTTTGAAATCACCAACGAAAGCATGTGTTCTATATCCAAACATAAAATAATACTCTAGAATACTGAGAATATTTTTCTCGTTAAATACAAAATGCATTGGTAGTTAACTGACATTGTAAAACAGAACAAAAAATGAAAGAAGAACATGTTCCAAGGCTGACTTCTGTTTATATAAATTGATACTGAAGAGATGGTTTTTCATATGCAATCAATGTTAATAAAATACTTTACTGTTTTGAAATTATTGAGATCGAATGAATTTGTATGCACACATTTATCTGAAATAATTAAACAGTGACACAAATATTATCAATTATTTACTACAAAATTAAAACCGAATAAAATCGTAAGATATATTATGTCCCTAATTAAAGCTTCAAGCCTCCAGATCAGCCAAAATATTTTAAGAAAATCAAACGTGAGAATATTGTAATGAGGTATAAGACTCAAGTTTCAAGTAAAATAATTAACATGTTGTGCTCGATTCATGAATAATTTTGCATTATTTATCACCATATTTCTACTGCGTGACCAACGCATTAAGGGCATTTTGCATATATTTTTTACTATAGATCTATATTTTACATTTTTCTGATAATTTACGTGGGATTGGGACAATCGCATAACTGGAATTTAAAGATTTAACCTGCTTGGAATACATTTCAGCAAGCTACTAAATGTATGTTTACTCGTGGTTAATTGCCATAGATGACTCAATATTTCAATGGTTACATAGGGTTTGTATATCTATTGTCATATATACATGTATATATGATATAGATATATAAATATTTTACAATCTGTTAGCAACATCCTTTAAAATAAGAATGCTATTTAGTTTGAAAATACAAATTATATAAACATCATAATTGGCCGCAACCCAGATCTCACTATCTGGTCTTGTGACAAGAGTTTTCATCCAGATATGGGGATAACAATTTGTTTCCAATAAACGGTTTTTCGTGGCATAATAAATATTGCCCAATTTTACATCCCAAACTGTAGTTGAATTGCTATCCCCAAAAGCACAATTGCTTTTCCGCTAACAGATGCATAAAATAGTGCAAATGTGTGCAAATATAGCACACATAGCTCATTAAACTAACGGTCAACACCTGTTTTTCCCTTCTATATTATTATGCACGAGTTATCTACTCATGGCATATTTTGCACAGACAAGCCTGTTCCATGTTACTATTTAGAGGAAGACTTCACAATATATTTGATATAAAGAATTTGTCTAGAGAAACATTGTATTACTGTCTTTTAAAAACTAATATGAATTTTCAATTTATCATTACTTATTAGTTATTAGCTATATAGATACATTTAATAAAAGAAAACGACAAAACATGGCGCAAATAAAAGAGTGTGAAATCTGATTAAAAGAATTATTAATTAGGTTTTTTCTAACTAATTGGAGATTGCGGAGTCAGAAACGAAAATCCTTAATGCCATCTTCGTTATTTGTCTCGTCTCTATTTCGTGCTTTGTGCAGAAGGATAATTTTGAGACTGGGTCCCAACGTGTTGATATTTTTTTTCAAATAAAAGAAAATAATCAAAGCCTTAATTCAACAATACAGGTAAGTTAACAAAAGCTGATCTATCAGTGATCCTTTTTACGACTTTCTATTTACAACAAGCAATCTTTCTTTCCCTGGGAAACATGCTTTAAAAACACATTGACCATTATGACTAGAATATACCTAAAGCATATAGACATATTAAAGTGCAATTACCTTTCCACTCCATGTATGTAATGCAGTTCTGTGCTGGTCAAATGCTGTTCCATGGCTCGTTTGAACTTCATATATACACTGCGGATAGGTTCAAACACATAAAAAGTGTTCGGGTATTCTTGAAAAAGCGACGCAGTTAACGTTGACCCTGTTCTCATATAGGCAATAATTATTATTATTTTCCTGTTGCTAAGAACTGTTGAGCTTCTGTTAAGTGAACTCTGATCACGGCTTGGTAAGATTTTGGTTACATTTAATGATTGACCATACGCAACTGTTTTTTCTCTGACCATGCCTGTTGACACGGGTTGAAACAAAACACCTGAAAAACAAATTAATAAGATTAGATGAATGTACTGTCCAGACAGAAAAAACAAACATTTCTATGTAGAATTCTAACTTTCATTATATAAACAATATGATTAAAAGATAAAACAATCGAAAGCGACGTTCACAGAAATTAAGCCACTAAGAAATATCCTGTTACTTGAACAGAAACGGTGTTTAAAAAGGCAGGACACCTCTCAGCCGCCGTTTTAGTGGTTCTGTGTTGCTGGATTTGTCGGGACTGTTGCCTTGTTAAGGCAGTGGCCTTGTTAATCTTTATTCTCATAAGAAGAAATGAACAGAAAGAGAGCGTTCTGGTTAGAAATTAAAGAAAATGTAGTGGACTTGTTTTAAATAATAAGGTAATTTTATAATTGTTTTCCTTTTAATTGAAAGGTGATAATTATATATTCTAAGTGCAAAAAATAACGTTTTGTTTACAACTTCGTGTTTCCTTGTATAGATAAATAACATGCAATTTTCATTATTAACCCTACAAGAGGCAGTGTAAACATACTTACATTCTAATCATAACTGTCCATGTAGAATATCTTTTTTCCACTCTTCTAATTGCCATACTTTGTATTTACAATTATTTTCTTTTTTAAATCTACTGGAATAAATCCAGCAATTAAGTATAAAATTGTCTATGTCTGTTGCATAAATATTGGGATTTTAAAATTAATTTGTACATAAGACCATTATAAGTAGACAATGTGTCGTGTGCAAGAGCAGGGTCTCTAGCTCAAAAATGAAGGTCATCACAAGGGATTGAAATTAACGTACAGCTGGAATTTGCACCCGTGTGTAACCTCTGCAAGCATGATGTGGTTTCAAAATATATTGGTACATATGTTCAACATAAAAAGGAGTTGTGCAAGACCGATGTCGGCATCTTGAAAGTCAAGGTCATTCTAAGAACCTGTCTGACTCTTTGTCATCACTCGATGGATTATCGAAATACACGTACTTGGCATACTAAGGCAATGAAAGGCAAGAAGAAGTAAGTTATGGTTTACGTTTTTTGGTTAGTTATAGCCAAAATGGCATAAAATTGTAACAAAATTTTCAATTTTCAAACCTGAAACATCAGCTCCATTGTTAATTCTCGTATGCATAAAAAGGTACAATATTCCGCCCAGAGCTAATATCAGCCCGACAGCTTTTCTGTAAAAACGATATAAAACTGCGACGATTCAATGGTAAGTTATTTTGATATTGTTATTTTTGAATTCTTATGTTTTAATACAGTATCATCTGCGGATGTTTCTAAATTCAAAAATTCACTATTTACGTGATTAAATGTTGATTTTGCTTAACCAGGTGCTAGGGGGCGTTGATGGATACCTGCACAGTCAAGTTTCATCCATGACCAACAATTACAATTTTTGCCGTGTTCTCTTTTCAGTGTTTCTCTATGTTATATTCTCATGATGGTAGAAAAAATTTCTATAAAATAAACTCTACTAGATTTCGAAAATCTTTACTTCCAGTTCTGTATAAATTGATCATCTAATTTTTGTTTAACTAAATAACGAAATAACTTATCGTCACCTACACCTTGATAAATTCATGCATCAACAAAACCTAGTGAACAGAGCCAAACTTTTATCATAGGGTAAACCAATCACATATTTTCATGGTGTTCAAAATCATTTTTTAACACCGAGTATATATAGAAAAAAAACCCGCCTGGTTTGGTCCCAAATGCTATATCTTTAACATATGTTAGATAGTATGTAATGATTGCATCGTTTTAAAGGATACTCGTCCTAGTTCTTAATCAATAAAGTCGTATCGTGTCAATATCTGAACAACCAAAAATATCTGAGAAAATTTAAAATGTACTCTTTTTTGTACAACTTGATCAAATAATTTCAACTATTGTTTTAATCATAAAATTGGTAAAACTATATAAATATTTATTGATCTGCAATAGTATTGTGGGTAATACTAAACGAACAACTGCTTGTTAATCCTAACAATCGAAATAGGTTGTTCATCTTATAAAAACTCTTTGCTTCGTGGTAAGGTTCATTCAATGTTGATAGATTTTAATTATTTTTCGGCTTTTCTGGAATAAAACTAAATCTTTGATTCAAAATGTTACTTTTAAATGATCATTTTGGGGTTAAAAGTTTTAACTTTAGTAATGTACGCAGCAAAAACTAACAAATTACAGATATACATATGATGCTCAAATCTTGTACATGTATTCCCTTTTTAATGTAAAATAAACACATTGTAAGTACACACATGAGAAATGTTATGTTTTAAACTCTACATAATATAGATTAACTTAACATAGAAAGAATATGAAGCGTCGTAAAAAAATCTGGCAGTTGTTTTAAAGAAAGGACCAAATAGGGAATGGAGCTTCTCCCCAACCATAGCCTGTACATTCTCTCATTCAAATTAAACATAGTTTGAATTTTCTTGAGTTCATTACATTTGTTGAATGAAAGTATTCTACGCAAAAAATGTGCATAGTGTACCTTTAAATAGCAAACAATAAAGTAGTCTAATTCACTTACCTTGTTTGATTCATTACAGCTATCAAACTAACGTTTACATAAGACATATTTATATTTGCCTAAATATGTTTTTCCTCATTTAAAAGCACGTCCACGATGAACTAGGTTTATTTAAAAATTGTGCATAAACGCGACAGCAATTGGTTCAAGTTAGTTGGTTTAATTTTCAGAACTTGAATTTTGGATTTTTTTTTTTCTGAATTTACATTTATTAATCCAACTGTTCAGCAACACTAAACAGACTGTTTTTAAGTAATGAAATTTAATAATATATCAAACACATGTGGCATGTATTCAACCTAGTCTGGTGTAACATAAGGTGAGATATAAATATTAAAATTAATATGTTAATAATCAAGATCTCTATTTGTAACATTTCAAAGTCAATATCTGTAGCAAGCTTCGACCATAAACAATATTTGTGTTTAGAATTGATATTTTTTCCATTATTGAATGAAGTCTTGTTACACAAGTAAAACACTAGACTTCGTGGCATTATTGTGTCAAATTGAATGTTCCATGATGATCGCCTTATGAACACATCTGCGGATGTTTCTAAATTCAAAATTTCACCATTTTCGTATTAAATGTTGAATTCTACTTAAGCCGGTGCTAGGGGGCGTGGACGGTAAATTGCACTTTCCAGTACCGTTAACGAATAGGCTCAATCAAACCGAGCCTGCAACATTTTCATTTTGTTGTGTTGGACTTTCTTTTTGGAATCAGTTTTTCTCTATATTAATAGCAAATATGATGATCGTTAAATACCAACACGGTTGGATAATTAAATAATAAACCTTTGTATCATAGTTTGGGGACCTTTCTGTTGAAAAAGTGTCAGAGTTAAATCGTATACATATACATGCACAGTGCGGTAACTGGAGTGCAGGTATCAGTTACCCGCACTCCAGATCATGCCCGTTGATTGGCTCATTTTTGCTGGGGTTTACATATTGTGACGGCAAAGAAAGGGAAAGCGGCAGAAATATCATATTCAGATGCTCGTTCATTGGTAACTTTTTCCCGGGGTTTAAAATTGTGACAACAGGGAACGTGTTTTTATGTTTGACTATGATACAAAAGAGAAAGAACACCAAAACACTCGGCAATCTGATTTATACTCGGGGGCTACGCCCCCTCTTACAAATCAGATAGCCTCGTGTTTCGGTGCTCTTTCTATTACTTGTATGTGGGTGGGATTTAAATAATAACAATGATAAATAAGTACATGATACAATACCATGGCTGAATATGTTCTTATCTCAAAAGCTTTATTAACAAAAATACTCAGTTTCCTTATAACTTTGAAGTTCTCAGAATTAAACAGCTCTGATAATTTTAGCATTTTTTGACGTCTCCACCCCCCCCCCCCCCCAAGACATATAGTTCTTTCGTATGAGATTATACATTACAAATTCTAAAGCAAAGTAATATGCATTTTTATGACGTTGCAGTTATTACATATTCTTTCATTCAAAGGAGTACATGTAGGTTTCGTCCACCTGCCCATTTCTATATTAAATCTATCCGACAATATCCTTAATTTTGAAATACATATACTATACTTTCTAACGTTAATTAAGCTTATGAAAGTTTGAAATGCACCTATAAAAAGGAGCTCTACTAGAGAAATTTGAAGTCTGCTATCCTAATTCTGTAAAAATTGATATTTAATTCTTTGCTTGACTAGATTCAAAAATACATTTGTGTTTCCAACAGTTTGGAAAAGCCATGAATTATAAAAACAAACATTACTAAGTAAATTTCTTACAAGAGAACACCAGTTTTTTATAATTAAGATTATTGTCTATATCTTCTTTTAACATAATGACTTTTCTAACATATTTATAATCATTTAGATTCACAACTTTTTACCAGAATGTAGTTATGTTGGTATGATGATATGAATTTAAAAGAATTTCTTTTTGTTTGGTTATTGATTTGTTTTGTTTAGCCATGATTGATAGTCTACTACATGAACATTGTATGAGGGCATATTAATATTTGTTAAGCTAAATTTTATATATACTAATCAACTTTTGCTAAGCACCATAAGTTTGAGTGTGGATATTTTTGGGATAATCTTATTAACACCGTGCAAAATGATTTTAATTTTGATTTACTGATTTATCAATTCAGCTGAAGGACGAATTAAACCCTTTAAATGAGTTTTGCTAGAGAAATGGATGACCCCCTCTTTGATGATTTCATTATATGCAAACATGTTTTCCAAATTTGTTAAATTGTTTTTTGTTATATTTTGTTTACAGTTGTAGAATAAATACCTTGTGTGTGACCTGTGATTATCAATGACAGCTTGGCAGCGCCTTCTCATACTCCCTATTAGGTCTGATCTTTCTAACGGGTATGACTGCCCAATCTTGGACCAACATTGCTCCAAGCTCCTGGATGGTTCTGAATTCCAAACTGCAGCTCATTCCACATGTGTTCTATTGGATTTAAGTCAGGTGAGCGAGCTGACCAGTCCATGCGCTCAATAGACTCTCACTATAGGTACTCCTGGACCAGCCTGGTCCTATTGGGACTAGCATTTGAACTGATCGCCGCTTGCTCCACCAAACAACCTTACCTGGTTGTCTAAGATGTCGTCTATGTATCGCTGACCTATCAATATGACATTATTTAGCACGATCAGGTCGGTTCGTCCATCCCAGCTGATGCCTCCCAACACACCTCCGTAGCGGTCATGTTCAACAATATTTGCAGTCTGAAACCATTCACCTCGTCTTCTCCAGACATGCCAATCCGTGAAGTCTAGGCAGAATCTGGACTCATCAGTAAACAGAACGTGTCTCCAGTGTTGCATGGTCCACCATGTTTGCTCCATGGTCCATTCCAAACGGGCCTGGTGATGTCGATGCGTCAAGAAGGTACGTATGCAAGGTCTTCTCGACCGAAAATTACCTTCATGCAGCCTTCTACGTACCGTTTGCGTGGAAGCACGGACACCCGCAGCATAGGTAAGGTCCTTTCGAAGAGACGTTGCTGTTGAAAACCTTTCACGACGTGCCTGAACGACCGAAAACCGATTCTGAGCTAGTGTTGTGACCTTTTGCCTCCTTGCGGGTGTATCATGTAGCCGGTATCTCTCCCAGGCTCTGGTGATGACGGTGGCGGAAGGTGGCCCACTGCTGCACCATATCCCTACAGCCCTCAGTAACTCTGCTTCTCTCATGTAAGCCACTGAATGACAATAAGGAGGTAATGTCGCGGTATAAAAAGGACATGTGATTGTACAACCAAACAAAAACATGAAAATATTGGGATGTATGCTTTCCATGCTATAGCTACCTAGATGAGTTGTAATGGACTAGTCAACACGGATTCATGTACGGTGACGCAAAACATTGCTGAATCGGAATGTTCAAAAATTGGAAAAGAAATCTGTTTTATACTTGTGGTAATATAAAAATAATCTTATAGTGCTTAGCAAGAGTTAAGTAGTATATTTTTGTAGAAATGCACTATTGCCCCGGTGTTGACAAAAACAACTAAGACATATAATCTCACACTTATCTCATACTTAATAGCATTTTGGGAAGAGAAGTGGTTGAATTTCAAAATAAGGCAGAAACTAACAGACATTTTTTTTTAAATGACTGGTATTCTCTAATTGATAACTCTCGCAAAAGAAACACAAAAATACTTTCTATTTACTTTTAAACCTTTCTTTTGTTACATGATAAAATTTCAAATACTAAACTATGATAAACAAGATTAACAAGGAAAAGCGACGTTCAATGAACGCAACCCCCACATGACCCAGCAACAAGAACTAGTGGCAAGGAGCCCAGGCGGCCCCAAACAAAAACAGGACAGGACACAAGTCAGCACGGACAGTTTAATCACTAAATGATAAATAATTTATAACTGATTAGGAATTAAAAGAAAACAAATAAATGATTGAATAATAGGCCCACAAACCATACATTACCAGTAGAAACTAGATAGCGAGCCGAATACCTATTTATCTGGGACGCTTAGCTCATATTTATATAAAATATAAACCAGTGCTTGTGGGGGCGTTAGGGATGTCGCACTTTATCATTATCCCTCATGAACAGACTCAATCAAACTGAGTCTGTAATTTTCTGTACATGTAATTTGGCTGTTTTAATGCTTCCGAGGAGTCGCTTTTTCAGATTTTTATTTAAATTATATATATCTATATCAAATGATAATGATTTTTACTTAAATTTTATGAACATATTATTATTAGGTATTATTAGGTATTAATTCTGGATGAGGTGCTGGTTGTTGCTGGAGATGAAGATAAAATGATATTATATTGATGACTATTGGATAACAGTTGTTATGAAGAAGACATCTGTTTATTGTGATTCTAAATGCAATTCCGCGAAAAAAATAATGTTGACACCGATATGATTCACCGTGCATATTTAGAAACGCCAAAATAATAATCGCAACTCCCCCAAAAATTGAACAAAGTTATGTTACTGCGAAATCCTAAGGTGGTTTTGTCCCCATTCAATCAGTACTAGATTGAACACGTGTGACAGCTTGCCAGGGACAGCCATTTAAGGCCTATTAAAAGTTTTGATTTACATTAAAAGTATCAAAGAAATGTGTGGCATGAACTTGGGCAAGACGAAGTGAACAGTATTCAGTATAAAAGCTATGTACAAATGCTATGTATGAGCATGAATTTAATACGAAATTATAATCGATAAACTTTATAATGCGAACGTGCTTAAGAAAATTATGACTTTTCGGCCCATTCTATCAATATTCGAATACAATGAATAGATTCGGTATTTTGGTCTCACCTCATAATTTATACAATGTTAAAACAACAAAAAGTAAGTTATTAAGCTTGTTTGTTCCATTATATCGCGTAAACATAAATGGAAATTTTTTTTTTCTTTGGAGATATTATGCTTAAAAACATATCAGAAACAATTTAAATGTTCAATTTAAACATGTCGTTTGAAAAACGTTTATAGACAATTCCAAATCATATCAATAAATAAACATTTTATACATTCAATTTTTACAAAACGCTTATTTGTACAGGAAAATATTTTTTACTTTTTATATAAATATTTTTAAACACCAATATAAGTTTTAAAACATTTTACTTGACTTTAATATCTACTGTATACATTTATTTATCATAAGACAGAGAGAACTTAGAATCCCTAAAGAAAGCCCAACACGGCGTAATTGAAAATGTTGCAGACTCGGTTTGATTGAGCCTGTTCATGGACGGTACTGTCAAGTGCAAACTACCGTCCACGACCCTAGGACCGGCTTAAGCAGAATTCAACATTTAATATGAACTGGTAAAATTAAGCATTTTGAATTATCCGCAGATGTGTTCATATGGCGGTTATCATGGAACCTTCAATGTGACACATTAGTGCCATTCCATGAAAAGCGGCATATGGTCCCCAAGTAAAAAAAAATGCATGTGCCCTAAAGGAGAAAACAATGGGCGGTACTAAATAAAATGGAATTTTGAAAGGGGATCTTAGGTTTTGAAGCCTGCATATCACAGATATGACGTCAAAAGACAAATTTAAAAAGCAGGCCACACATCCTAAGGGTGATTCAACAGTATTCAATTTAGGAATACTCGAACCACCCAACAAGAAAGATGCCGAATAGAAAGAACTAAAATAACACAAGCACATCAATTATGCCGTGCTGAACGATCTTTAAAGATCAAAAATAACACCGCTGATTGAATAAGTCGACTATATGTTTACAATATTGAATTGTTGTTGCCTTACGGTTGATCGCAATACACAATCCGTTCTATCTGGGACAAAGTATGATTAATGTATTTCCCAATTTTTATGCATCCATATTCCTTATCCCGAAGTTTGACGGAAAGAGCCGAGAAGTTGCGATTGGTCCTTCACAAAAACAAAAGTCATGTTATTCAAATCTTATTTCTAAGATTATTATAAATAATCGGCGGAGCATTCCGAATGTAGCGATTGTTCAAAATGAATGGAGAAAAATATTAAAAAGAACTTAAAGGTACCTCAAATTATCAAGGAAGTGCACATACTGTAGTTAAAATTCAATCTACATTTTTGTTATGCAGTGAACACAATTATCTGTTGTTTTTTTTTTTATTTCAGAAGAAATTTAAACCCTCTGATTTTACTCTTGTCTTCTGTGAATATTGTCAATCTGTAAAGAATGAAGACGTTGATATTTCATTCCTTGGTATAACATTGATTTCATTAATTACATTCACCCATGTTCTTGACATATGCGCGAAATTCCATCATCTGTGTTTCAAATTAAGTAAGTCTGTAATTTCCGTACATATTTATTAAGTATATATTGATGACGTTGAGTGTTGAATACGGAATCAGATTTCTGTTCAAATAACAGCTGTAATTCACTATATCATCCCATTTTTATGAATAGAATATAATTGCCCTTAATAGAATTATAATAACAGATATTAAACGTGTAATCTTTTAAAATGCTTATATGTTAAAATAACACATTACTTATATTTCAGGTGAGCCTATTGCTTGTGACTATTCTGAAAACAGCTGAATCGGACGCAGGTAAAACTATTCTGTTTGATTAAAATTTATATGAATACGAGTAGTCACTACCCGAGCTTTGTTATGTTAAGACTATTAAACATACACACATTTAGGCCTGTAAAAACATAATATTATGTAAACATTTACCACAATAAAAATTAATCTACTTCTTTAATTTAAGAAAAGTATTAGAAGAAAAAGCTTATTTAAAATAATTGTTAACAATGTAAAGAAACCATCGGTTCTAAACTTATGTAATTTGCTTCAGCTCTCGTTAATTTCCACGTGGAAAACCAGCGAGTCAGATAAATAATTATGATATAGATCCCAACAATTGGACTGCTGACAAAGGCGTTGATGGAAATGCTGATACCTATATGTATAACAACCATTGTTTCCATACTAAAAACAGGACGAGTCCCTGGTGACAAGTTGATCTTGAGGATGTTTATATCATAAGTCAAGTTAATATCACTAACAGAAAGGACTGCTGCCGTATGTAGCTAGTAACTTTTTTTTTACTTTAAATTTATAATAATACTTTATAATGTGTTATCTTTTTGTATAATTTTTGTTTAACGTAACTTACATGAATATAATATCATGAAGGTAAATTCGAAATAAGATTTTGAAAAAGATTGTTCTCAGCATCATTGAGTCATACAGCGTTCACGAATGAAGCTTATGTAAAAAATTCTTGTTGTACCATTTAATTATTAAGATGTGTGTCACTGGCCAATGTAGGTCCTATTTAAAGTCCATAGGAGGCGATATAATAGACGAACGCCTATATATATTGTCTGTAAGAAAACTGAAATATTTCATCCGATTTTACACTTTCAACATTTCAACAAAATTATTCACACAGCTGATAATTTGAAAAGAAAGTAATGTAGCTGCTGTCAAGCTACACTTTTAATTGTCATTTTTAGCTGAAAGAGCTTCAAAGGTTGAGATCTCAGTAGCAACAGCGATTGGTGGTAGTCGGAAGGTGGTAGTGTACCACGAAAATGCAATAAGAGTTTTCAAATCGTTCACATTCGATCCAGTGAAAGCTCGTTACGTCAGAATTACTTTAAGGGACAAGCAGGGATATCTTCATCTATGTGAAGTGGAAGTTTTTGAGCAAAGTAACGAATCTTACCTTTTACGTCTAAGTGGCTCTGTTAAAAATCATGTCACAGATTCTTTGTTATTTACTTCTTTTATTTTATATTTAGTTTCTTTGTGACGCTTAAAATGCTGTTGAATTTGATTATTTTAGAAATAAACTGACTTTTTTCAAGATGAAATATTTTTCATTACCTTCCTTTCCGGAATAAATACATTTATTATCATTATTTTCCGCTGGATGAGTGGACACTTTCATTTAATGGCATATTTATTTATTAAGAGTCTCCTGTTGATGACTGTGCTGCTAAGCCATGTTTGAACGGCGGTGTGTGCACTGATGGGATCAATAGCTTCACATGTACATGTGCGCCTGGCTTTTATGGAAATACCTGTGAAAAAGCAAAAAGTAAGTACAATGTTTATATTTTCTATCATACATTTATGCAAAATTTTAAAGCAAATTCATGTGTCAATGCAATTTATTCGAATGATTTTAAGACATATGTGTCTTTTTAACATCACGTTTTGCATTACACACAACAAAACGTTAGTATTTATATGTCAAAATTTATGTTCAAGATGACTTTTAAAAACCAATTTTTTAACTATTTATTAGATGGTTACTGTCACAATTCTTTTATAGCCTCGTATTAATCACATTACAAATAATTATTCAAAGTTTCGTATGCAGATTCAATATCAGATAATTCTTAGTGCAGTAATTAACTGAATTAAACGACCATTAATGTTGGATTTTGCTTAACCGATGAAGCGGTGCAGATGATAAAACGCACTTAATGCACTTGCATAACATTAAATTTATAAACTATGATTAATTTGCTTTGACAAAAACTGTACTCTTGTAAAAATATATTTTCAATCTCCGGCTCTTTAAAATACTGACCACTTGAGTATTTAACAGTTGGTTTCTGTCACCTTTTTCTTGTTGCTTTTAAATTAGGAAGTGATTGCTTTTACATTAGGTAGGGATGCTTTCTTGTTGTATATAAGGACTTCGTAACGCAAAAAGGAACGATTGGTGATACAAAATGTATTTTCAAACAAATGTTACTTTAGAAATGTTATGGTTTATATACTGGTATTTTTGCTTCATCTCTCGTTAACCTTTCCCGTTGATGGAAATGCTGATACCACTGTTTATAACCACCATTGTTTCCATACTAAAAACAGCACGAGTCCCTGGTGGCAAGTTGATCTTCAGGGTGTATATTACATACGTCAAGTTAATATCACCAACAGAAAGGACTGCTGCAGTATGTACCTAGTATCTTTTTCCAATATTGAAATATTATACCTATTTTGGATTGTCGTAAATTATTGAATTCATGAAGATATTAAAATTAAAATTTTGAAACAGATTATTTTATGCCTTAAAATCATACAACATGTTTCATAAAAGGTATGTAATTAACATAATGTACACTCTTAATGATGAAATGAATAATAACATGTATTGGGTTGTGTTTGGCGCTGACCCAGTACTGAAATGTAGTGCACCTTTGGATAAATAAGACTTAGGCGATATCCGTGTTCAATAAATTCATCAACACAATATGAAGTCACTCTTGTATTTGTAGTTGCTGTCGAGATACAATATTATTTTTATAAATGTTTAGCTGATAGAGCTTCAAAAGTTGAGGTCTCCGTGGCAACAGTGGATGGTGGTAATCGGACGGTGGTAGCGTATCATGAAGGTTCAATAGGTCCATTCAAATCATTTAAATTTGATCCAGTGAAAGCTCGTTTCGTCAGAATAACTTTAAAGGACAAGACTGAATTGTTTCACCTATGTGAAGTGGAAGTATTTGGATACAGTAAGTCGACATTTTCATTCAGAATTCATGTGTGTTTCTGTTAAGTTAAAGGGATTATCAAGTATAATTATATAACATTCTTTAGCAACATCAGAAATATGTCTCCTTTTATTTATCTACAGTTGAAGCTGTCTGTATTTTAAACGAAATGTAGGTAACATGATTTTATTTTCATACTCAACCCTTTTCGCTGTTTCCCATGGAGCTATCATTTTTCTTATTTGGTTTACAAAGTTTATGCTTATATATTGTAAATGCACAGTTTACATGATTGCCAATGCAATTACGCAGATTTCTCTTTTCTACAGATTGAAAGAGAAAACAAGACGAAAACGAGACCAAGAAAAGGGGAGACGTGAAAGAGAAAACAATAATTTACTTGCAAGCCTTACCATAAGATGATTTTCAATGTGAAAACATTCTAAATAAAAATTAAATCATAATACAGCTGACTTATTTTGTAAAAGGTGTTACGAATCAAAGCCAACCAGTAAATGAAGGTATAAAATTACACACCCTAAATTAACGCACGCAACACGCTCTGCAACTTCCTTTATATCCTTACGAGTAGTTTTTCTTAATGTGCCTTTAGATGTCTATTATAAAGCTTTAAAAGATGATTGGCGAAACATTAACACACGAGAGAGATAGAGAATAAAGTGATCGTAATTAATTGAAAATAAGAACAATACTATTATACCTACCTGTACTAACATGACCAATCCAGCACTTTGAACAGTGACCCGTAATGCTTTCCGTTAGATCTGTTTTAGGTTTCGCAGAGAAGTCTTTCTTAAAAAGAACTAATCTAATTGTTGTTTCCAATACAAGCGTTATATTTATGTTATGAAGTGTTGAGCATGTGCTCTTCTTGTGCAAGTGACAGGAAAACGCACAAAAACGTGTACCAACCTGATATGCTTACATATGAAATTGAAACAATAAAGTTCGATTCGTGCAAAGTAATTTAGGATCTTGTTAATCTGTACGTTTCTGATATAAAAGTATTCCTTGCTCAAACAAATTTTTTGGCGCACACTTATTTTAACTCTATCTTAAAATGAAAATATAAATCGTGTTCGTCGGATCACACTAATTAAAGAACTCGAAAGAACTCGAATATATATTTATTCAAGATAGTTTACATAAAAGTTACAACATGTTCATACAACGTTTAAACAACGCATGCTTACGAAAAAATCACACAAAGTGTTATTATAATTCATAACGACCAAGTTCAAAAACCAACACAAAAAATTGATTTTTTAAAACATAAACAATTTTAGTTACATAAGTATTGTATTTCTGTTAATAAGATTTTAAAAATAATCATTGCTCATTCAAACCTATAGCTGCAAATAATTCCTTAAGCGATATTGCATGTTGCATCTATTGCGATTTTAAACTGTAGTGAAATAGTGTCGTACACTGACACACCTTAACCACTGTTTTTCTTATAAAGAAACAAACAAAATACAAATTTTAAGTCCATTATGCCTCAAAAATACTATTATTTTCAATTTTCAAAAAAGAGCATAAAGTTTGCAAACTCTTATTTACAATATACTTGAACTATCATTTCCTTTTTTAGCTCTGTTTACATATTGTATAATTATAGAGAATTTGTATTTTGTATGGAAGTCAAAATACTACTTTGTGTACTTGTTGCTACATTTTTGACACAAAACTTTATGTTCAGCCGTAATTATTAAAGTTGCAAAACATCTAACATGCTCTTAATCATTTATATAAACATTATTAAACACATGTTTGACATGTCGAAAGAATTAGAAAATTTGCATTTTAAGGCATAAAATGTGCAATTAAAACTCCGGTACACACTCAAACCGAGTATGTTACATTTTTGTCGTATTATGCGACTATTAAATGTAACATTTTAATAATTTCTGTAAAAATATCAATAGATTAATTATTGTTATTGTAGTTTATGTAAAATGAGGGTTAATCCGTGCGTAAAGGCACAAAAGCAGCTTTCGCTGTCGAGTAAGGACCAATCACGTTCTTAAAGAGTAAATTTTGAAGCACAAACTGGTTTAATATACTTCCGTATAATTTCCACAGATTATTTGCAGTAGAAATGAATTTTGAGTCGAAAGAGGGTCATTGATAGCGGTCAATGAGTACCGAAACGTTTTCTAACAAGTCAAACGAATTCAAGTTTTAAGCTCTTAAAAAGGGCTGTTTGTGTCAGCAAAAGGCTCACGTACCCTAGCCGCATCCTCGTCGTCTTTGCCTCTTTTAAGGGCCGCTCTCGTCGGTTCTAGTCAGGAAATCATCGGTTTCATGTGCTTTCTCAGCAACATTCATGAACTTACTGAGGGGAAAGAGAAGTAACATTACTGTAATCGTGTTTAGATCCTAACATCACCCGAAGTCGCAATGTCATCACGAAATCTTATTATTTATTTTCCTGATAACATTATTGACAAGTTGTCGGGATTGGTAAACGGCTCACTTTGTGATAGGCTCTGGTTATTATTGTTTGAATCGCGAGTGTCGTTGTAATTATATGTGAAATTTTATTCATTAACTACGAAAGACCGGTAGGGCCATTTTAACTTCATGAATCTTCGATTTCATCTTCATGAATGCACAATTTAAACATCCTGAATTCCCGTTTTCAACGAACGGAATTCACGATTTCAGCTTCATGAATTTCCATTTCAATTTCATCAATTAACGTTTTCAACTTCATGAATTCACGATTTCAACTTCACGAATTCACGATTTCAACTTCATGAATTCACGATTTCAACTTAACGAATTCACGATTTCAACTTCATGAATTCAAGTTCGTAATTCCACGATTTCAACTTCACGAATTCACGTTTTCAACTTCACGAATTCACGATTTCAATTTCATGAAGTTTTAATCGTGAATTCGTGAAGTTGAAATCGTGAATTCGTGAAGTTGAAATCGTGAATTCGTGAAGTTGAAATCGGGAATTCATGAAGATGAAATCGGGAATTCATGAAGTTAAAAGAGTCACGTACGCTTTATTTTATGAAAGTAATGGAATAGTGGTCGTAGCGCTGTTCCTGAGAGGGGTAGTGTCACTTCTAGCGTGACCCACCCTGCTGTAGTAAATCAATGAATTACAAAGACCTCAAGATCCAGCTTTCGCAGGATCAATTTACTCATTATAATGCCCCTACGCACCTGTCTGCCTTGGTAACTAAAGCTTATTTAGAGGAGCAAAGAATTAAGGTTTTGTTACATTCCGCTTATAGTCCTGACCTCGCTCCTTGCGATTTGTAGTTAAATCCATACATCAAATGTTGCCTTTGCGGTCGCTGGTTACAGAGATAAATCAAGTAAAAGGGTTTCAAGTATTCCCTATATTTCATCGAGTGATATGAAAATAAATATTTCATGAGTGGCGGTAGCAAGAAAATGTGATAGAGAATTGTTGATAGCAGGATGTTGTAAATGATTTCGGACTAACGGATAGAAATTTCTTTTCTTTTGAAAATGTGTCTCGGCTTAGGATCGATCTGAATTGCGGATGATCTAAAGTAGTTAGGGATTTTTCACTAGCTGTTAAATCTTAACACTTGGGATCATTGTGTAATATCACCATCAGAGTGATATGATATTTAGGTAACAATGTATTTTATACTCCAATGGGTCTGTAATAAGAATGATGGAACCTAATTAATCAGATCTGTGTTTAAAATTTGGTTTTTAATATACGAGGGCTGTTCAAAAAGTTCGTGGACTGCGGCTCTACTGTTCACATCTTTTAATTTGCGTATATGATTTTACAAGAAACATATATGAAAATATGTCCTCAATAAACAGTGAAAAAATCAATACAATATGTTTACAAATAACAATTCTGTAACAGTTACAAATCACAAGGGGTGCACAATCCGGCGCACGCTGATGATGAAACAAAATGACGTTTGTGACGTCGCAATACGAGGTATGTTCAAAAAGTTCGTGGATTTTTGCTGTCATTTTTTACTTGGTTCATAAAAACACCCGTGGTGGATATGAATCGAAAGAGTGTCTTTATTTCTAAAAATAAGATTTACTTTTATTGTTTACTTTTATTTCCTTTACGAGTTATGTGCACTTTAATAACCATGGCAACGCAACATCGGCGCACGCCGAAATTTTCATATAATATTTAAATATAAACAAATGTTGAAACAAACTGAATGATTGTTTTATGAAGTAAAATACAAATAATCATCTATCAATATTTAAATGACATAAATCTGAAATTTGACGTCGTTTGGACGTTAAATAACTGAACAAACAGGGTTTGAGCAGCAGTAGACAGACGGGTAAGTTGGGAAGTATAAAACCCGTTTAAAAACTAGAAATTCGCTCTTTCGGAAATTTTTACCAATAAATGTGGGATACTCCTTTATACTTTTATGAGGTGATTAAATTAACAAAGAACAATGAGTTGGCGAGCAAGTCTCTTGGTTTCAGGTCGCGCAAGCGATTCAAATACGGCAAATACATGCTCACAGACAGAAAGGGCGACATATATTTTTAGCGGCAAATTGTTGGGACGTTTGTAACGTCAATTGAAGTTCAGACATTATGAAAGTTTTGCGAGATGTCCGACATGTTTAATTTCTGCATCGGGTCTATGCATTCAATTCTGACAAAACAATTCAATTCAATTAAAATGATATTTTATTTCATTCATCAGGACATATTCGTATTTACAATAAATAATTGTAGTTATTATTTGTATTACGTGTATTTACCCTGGTCCGTTTGATAATTAATGCTAGCCGGTGTTCAGTAGCTTTACCGCATAGAATAATTGTCAGTTGATAAAATATTTTTCTTTATCATTGATAATCATATTGTTTAAAGATCGGACGAGGGCGATTTCAAATTGATACTATTAATCAATAATTGAATTAACTTAATAACAATGTCCGTTAAGTGTCTAAATTACTCAAAAATCCCGATAAGAGCGGAAAGTATGCGGCACTCGGACCTTTATACGGAGAATGGAGCGAAAAGATGACCACTTTATATCTCGGGTTATCATCACAAACAGAAAAATGGTTTTGGTATATGATCCGCAGATATTGAACACTAAAAAGAGTACTTTCAGAAACAATGACGCTGGTAAAATGTTTCATTTATACGAGGGTTGTTCGGAAAGTTTTGAGACTGGGTCAA